ATTGAAAATAAACAGAATGCCTCCAAGGGGCGCAAGCACACAAGTACTAAAAGAAGTGTTTAAATTTAAACTAAGAAATTAAAATTACATATTCTCTATTTGAGAGTGTTTGATTCGGGGTGCTTTTCTGTATGTCTTTTCTTCCTTTTTATATTCCCTTAATGATTTTTTCATGACAAATCGCTGAAAAACTACTTGATTGCTCTATAACTACCAACTTTCTTCATGATTGCTAACTTGTTGTGGAACTGCCATCTCTAACTGCTGCCACTAATCTTTGTCGTTCAATTGCCTTCAATTGGGCTCCTTGAATCGTGGAATGTGATAAAATTGCTCGATAACTGCTATTCTGGATAACCATAATATCTCATGTTCACTAAGATTCTGAGCGATTTGAAGGTTTGGGGCGAGAATAGAGTCATCGCTCTGGGCGACCGTAAGGCACTCCATTCACTCAGATTCTGGGCGTCTTGCAAGTTTAGGAAATGATGTTACTGTGTTCGTGAGCTTCCATTGCATTCATCAATAATCTTATTTGGGCCTTTATCCTGAACTTCACAATTGGGCTTCACTCTTTGGGCTATTTAATTTGGGCTGTACTTTTAGTGCTTCAACACTTGATAAGTTGGGTTATAGTAATAATGGAATCCACAATGTTTTCAAGAAAGGATTTTATTTATTATTATATAATTAAGCATTAATACCACACCAAATGAATTTTTATTGAACATTGAATCATGATAAAGATTTTTTATTTATATATTCATTGAAAGAACTCAAAACTGTCTAATACGTTAGTCTCATTATTAGAGTCGAGTCAAATCTATTTATTTATATTGTCACTGCTCTTTACTTGCAAGCAAATAGACGTGAGTTGTACTCAAAATTACTCAAAAAATTTTTTCATTCTATTACGATATCGAATTATCTTATTTTAAAATCTTACTCAATCGGCGAATGAAAAATTGAAACCATTCAAAAGTAGATGATTCTCAAGTCTCGTGAAGAGTTTGGACAATGAGGGTTTTTGCTTTTCGAGACGTTGTAGAATCATAATCATATAATACGACCCTAATCAAAATACATATATTTGTTTCGTACACTGTGGGGATGTTGGGCAAAGAGACGAAAGCCAAGGCTTACCCCAAGCCCATTTAGTTTTCTATGGTTTTTATCTAATATCAGTTCAATATAAATTATTTTTTGTCTCTTGTGAGTCCATCCCTCGACGTCGGCCATTTCTCAATAATAATTTCCTCAATCCCATAAAGATAGACTTGCTTTCATTTTTAGTTTGTCCCAAATTGTAGATCTCTTTTCTTATTGAGACTATAAGTGATTTTTAGTTTGCTAATATGTCTATATTTTATGTGCCTTGTTATCAACAAATTGCATTATTCATATTTAAATCATTATTTACTGAAAGGCTATTAGAAAAAAAAATTATATTTCCAACTACATTAATTACATTTTCTTAATCTACATGAAAATGGAACAAGCCTATCTTTATGAGATAGAAAGAGTATATCACTACGAAATTCTTGATATGAAACAAAGTGAATAATCCATTAGTAGCCCCCCACTAATCTTTTTCTATATAAAGAATCTAAACTTTGTCATTATAAAGCACACTCTTCTATAGTTTCTGCAAGAAAAGAAAAACAATGGCTATGGCTATGGGTGTATACAGTATTTTTATGGTATTCCTTTTGTTCGGTCAATTAGGGCTAAAAATCGCATCATCTGATGAATAGAAAACACCAAAACACACTCTACAAGAAGCCTATAATGTTCTTGGAATCAAACTAAACCCTGATGGCTCCTTAACAAGAGAAATTAAAATCCCAAAGGTAAATGCAACCCCAGATATTGAACCAACTTCAACTTCTCAAATTGCTTTCTCCATAGACATACCATTAAACCTTTCTACCAAAACCTTCATACGTCTC